TGAATTTGGCAATTTTTGCCTATTTCTATGAAAACCTCGTTGAACTCGTCTTAACATACACTATCATATTATGTATAAAAAAATATAGCATTCCATTTAAAAAAATTAAACTGACTTTAAAATCTCCCCCCACCATACCCGGTACAAAAAAAATATTTATACCACATAATTTTCCCCCTCGTACCAAACAACTTTTGTTAAAACATTTTTTTCCTAACATCACTTCCTTAAAAGATATTTCGCTGTATTGAGATAAAACAGACACCCTGCGTAAATATTGACTTTCCTCTATAGAATAGCGTTTGAATTTTTTCATTTCATGCATTGATTTCGAAGTTATGATCATTTGAAGTCAGAAAGTTTCAGTTCGAATTTCGAAGTATCATCAACTTCATCTTCCTTTTTGTATAACTATCCCATTACATTTGAGATAAATAATTGTGCGTTTATGATGCCTTAGGACTTATAGAATGATGCCTTCTTAAAATTTTAGGTGCCTGAAGTGTTACAAATTTGGCACTTTTTTAACATCCTCCTTTAAATGAAAAATATGGTCACAGTCCTTGAAATTCTACCTACAAAATAAACCCTTTTGCACTATGGAGACTTTAAAATTAGCGTCACAAGGAGCTGGAAGAGAATAATGTATCTCCCGTTTTAGGTAAGCGAACCGCGCACTCTGCTATTACGGTCAATTGTCTATACCGCACGAACCCTGTAGTATTATACATTCAATATGGTTTGAAGACAATATCAACAGAAGATATTATTATTATAAATAATAATATTGGTACGAGTGGTACAGACAACCAACGGTAATAACAGAACGTGTGGCTCGCTTAGCTAAAACGGGGGTACATCAGTCCTTTTCCGGCTCCTTGTGACGCTAATTTTAAAAATTCCATCCTGCAAAAGGGCTCATTTTGTAGGTAGAATTTCAAGGGATGTGACCATACTTTTTTTTTATTTGAACACCTCTAGCCCATCACAGTGAAATTTACAAAATAAGAATTTGTTTATAATTTTCAGTATTACAAAATCAATTTTTCAAATAATAAAAGTATCATTACAAATAGGGCCATCCTGCTAGATTAAACATAAAAAGAGTGAGTTCAATTCGACCAATAGTTTTCGAGATAAAAATTGATAAGCACAGCCCGTTTTCATAAAAATAGGCAAAAATTGCCAAATTCAAAGGTCCGTATTATTTAAACAAGTTCTAAACCAGCTAAATGATGACTTAACCCCCCCCCCCCCAATTTCACGTGTACTACATTATGTTTCATTTGGAATAAAATCCCTGATGTTGACATCAAAAAGTGATCGATTTGGCATGGAATCACCCATACGCCGTCACGTGTCCATCAATATAAAGGGTGTCATAGTTTAATATATTAGTACAAACATTTCGAAAAGTAGGCTGGGTAGAATGAATGCTTTCAAGGGGTTACAGAAGTAGACATCATACTGTTACACCCTCAAATATTTTCCTTTTTAGTCCTTAGTTTCATCTGTATTTACAACGAGTCACCCACTTTCACCATTACTCATACTGGACTCTTCACCTTCCAACTCTCCTGCATAGTCACAACCCAAAGTCCATCTTCTCTAAACCCTTAAATAGCCCTATTTTCTCTATTTCCGCATTCATTCTCTGTTTTACTACGCGCACGTCACGTAACGTCAAAATCTCTGTCAAATAAAGTTCTGTTTCTACGCAACGACGATCCTTAAGTGTTTTAATTCAGTGTTACCCCAATATCTGCTTCTAGTTTCGAGGAATTGGAGTAAACCGGACATCACAATACGATACATGCAGGAGATTGCTAGATGGAAGCGTTAATGTCAGATGAAGGTTACTTACGTTCTTTTAAATGACACATAGTATATTTTGTTCTACAAAATGATAGAGGGTAATGAAAAACATTCAGTACCATTTTATGTGTAACTTTATTGAAGAATTTGTAAAATAAAACGCCGAAACTAATGAAATTACCTAAATGTTAAAATGTTCAAAATTTGATTATCAACGTACGTTTGTATCCTTCTTCAAAATCTATTATAAACAACTCTAAGTATTTCTGAAGTAATAATATGGATTGTGTTTGTAATCTGCTCTTTTATGTCATCAATTGTTGTTGGTTGATAAACAATAGACTTTTTCTTCCACATAACCCCACAAAAAGAAATTCATGTGTATTAAAAGTCAGGACATTTGACATAGAGCCTCCACGACCAATCTAATGATGTGGATAACGTTTATTCAGAAAGCTCCAAACACAATGATCATTGTGAGATGTAGCACCATCATTTACAATATATTGCATACTAAAGTATGAATAAACTTAGTTGCCTTCTTTCACAAATTCCTCAATAAAGTGACACATAGAATGGTATGGTTGAATTTGTCTTATTACCCTCTATCATTTTGTACAAAAAAAATATACTACGTGTCATGTAAGGAAACGTCAGTGACCTTCATTTGACCTTAATGCTTTCTCCTAGCGATATCTTGCTTGCATCATATGATACCTTCCTCGATCCCCTGCAATCTCCTAAAAGCATTTTCTTCTATCTAGCGTACTTTTCGAAATATGTGCATTAATAGATTAAAATAAGGCACCTTATATACGAAATACCTATACATACGGTGACCATAAGTCCTTTATTTAAAAGAACAGTCCTTTATTTCACTACTCTGTCCTTTAGATTTATTCTTTTTTTCTAAAATGAATGTTTTGTTCGTTATTTTGTGAAAAATGACAAATACTGCCAACGTAGCCGGGTTGAAATTTTTAAATACTTTGTAGATAAAGACATTTTAAAAGTCGTTGAATTTTGCTTATGTCTCCCTGGATCTAATGCCTCCACTGAACGAGTATTTTCATTAGTGAACAATATGTGGACCAGGGAAAAACCCAATTGAAAATCGAAACATTGAATGCATACATTTATACCAAATGCAACTTTTACATGAATTGTATGCCGTTTTATGAACTTTTAAAGCACAAACCTGATTCATTAAAAAAAGTTAAATTTGTTTAATACATGAAACAGTTTCTGATTTGTCCTTTATTTTCTCCAAAAAAATAGGGTCACCATACCTATATAGGGTGTTTCATACAACTGGGCCAAGTCGTAGTTTTAAAACGATAGAAGGTAGAAAAAAATTTTATTAGGCAAAATTAAATGATTTCGAATGGTAAATCACGTGGTGCATGTCTACTACGGAAGTGGAGGCGTTTCAAAGATTTCAATGTTACCTATATTTTTTATACACCGATTGATGTTTGATAATTATATTATTTTGTCTACGAAGTTATAGGTATACATGAGCAAAGACGTATATGTATGTATGCAGAAGAAACGTTCAAGCACACACGGGTCCAAATACAATGTTGTAAAGTTGTAGTCAAAATATCTTGTAAACTAATCATTTTCGACAGAAGTACCGTAATATTTTTTTTATAAAGAATGAAAGAACATTATTTGATGTATAAAAGCATATATTGTTCCGTTTAAAAAGAAAGAGACGACCTTGAAATCTTTGAAACGCTTCCACTTCCCGAGCATACGCAAACATATGCACCACGTGAAGCACCATTCAAAACCATTTAATTTTGTCTATTGAAAGTGTTATCTCCCCTCTACCGTTTTAAAGTTATGTCTAGTTACCGTCTAGTTGCGTGGAACATGCTGTATATACGCAGACCAATTTTCTTACAGTGTAATATATTTATTGTTACACTAAAATGATATATGTATTGCAAATTTTGAAATATCTAAATGTTATAATACTTCCACTGTTGCAAATAAGCATTTTTCTCGCGTAAAATGTATAACATTTCTGATTTTAACGATGCGCCTCAGCCACGATGTACTAAAATCGTATCGCACACAGCGGATAATTCTGTGTTAAAGTGTGCTACAGTCAAAGAATTAAAATTCTGTCAAAATGCTTACTGTTCCCTGAACACAGACTGTGTTCAACAATAATATTAAGCTAATATTACCTTCAAATATAAAATTAGGATAAATCAAATGAGACAAGTCATTAATCGTACTTTCTATTTCTTTCAATTAGTAAATTTAAATAACCATTACAATAAAAACTAACAATAACTACTTACGGTACTTTCGATAGATTTAGTAGGTTTGGAGTTTCATCTAGGTCATCCCAATTAATTTCCTGAATAACTGGATTTCGATACTTCACTGGTGCATTTAATTCTATTCTTCGTAGAAAATCCATATCAAGTCCAAATGGACCTGATATTTTTGGTTGTGCTGATATTGGAGAACTTCTAAAAATTAAAGTTTACATCAAACTATTACTTTGCAATGTTTTTATAAAATATATATTGTATATACATATAATCTACATTACAATTATATATTTCAACACACCTATTAAAACTGAACCAATTTAAACCAAAAGAATTAAGTTATTCTTATTACTATTTTTTATAATTTTATTACATTGTTACTTTTACAAAGTGACTAACTTTAAAAAAAGAAAAAATCTAGCATGTATATCGAATAATGTTAAATAAATTGTTACAATTATTCTACAAATGAAATAACTGATTAAAGATGTAATTATGTATTATGTCTCATATGCCCGCCACCATATATATACAGCACACTGAAAACAAATTACAAGAAGCACAAACATTTTAGTATCATCTTGGTGATCATTTGGAGGCAGTATATTTATTTCTGGTAGTATTTCTGAATGAGGTTCATTAGTTTCACAAGACTCTTGCACTTCATCGGATATGCTTTCTGCTGCTATATTTGCAGTCCGTGTTACATGTAGCCTGCAGAATCATTAAAAAGCAAATTCATGCAAACATAAACAATAAAATAAAATGTTTAAAAATATATCATGTGTAGTGACCCTCCTGTGCTCTGTCACCAGAGGGACTAACCGCAAGTTCTCGCTAGTTCTCATAAAGGCTCCCATTTGTATATATGTATATACAGTGTGTCTCACGAACACTGTCCACTTAAATATCTTGGTTATTTTAAACAATGCGAGAAAATGTTACATACAGAAGTTGTAGGGTTTAAGAAATTACATAATATGGTATAAATGGTATTCTTGCAAGTGGAGGCATAGAAAATATAGTGGTCACCTTTGTTTTTTTAAATGGAATGCCCAATTTTTTATGTTCGATTTCAATAGATTGGCGTATTCTGAGTATAAAAGTACTAAGGTGCATTTGTCCTAAAACTTACCGTTGTTGAGATATTTGACTTTTTTCATTCTATTACTTTCATTATGGAACGTATACGAGGATATGCTCAAATCAACCCAAATTTTTTCTCTTTAATACTACTTACTGATGAGGCTACTTTTACCAGCACTGGGCGTATTAATTTACATAACACGCATTATTGATCAGTGCAAAATCCTCACTGGTTACGAGAAATTGACCGAACATGCTTCAGGACAAATGCACTTTAGTACATTTATACTCAGAATACGCCAATCTATCGAAATCGAGCATAAAAAATTGAACATTCCATTTAAAAAAACAGGTGATCGTTATATCTTCTTTACGCCTCCACTTGCAAGAATACCATTTATACCATATTATGTAGTTTCTTAAACCCTACAACTTCTGTAAGTAACATTTTCTCGTATTGTTTAAAATAACCAAGATATTTAAGTGGACAGAGTTCGTGAGACACACTGTATATAACTTCCGACCTGAGTCCTTCATATGCCTCCCGCGTCTAAGGCACGGGCCTCCTAGAAAGCCTTACTGACGAGTCCACTAGGAGGCCCAGGACGAAACGCCCTCTACCTTTCCTTTTCCGCCTATCCTCACTACATCTTTCCTATCACCCTTCACATGTTAAAATTACTTTGTTTAATGATATTAATAGTTTAAGAGTGATATTAAAAACAATGAAATTAATTATGCGTGATATAAATGATGTAGTGTTAAGTTTTCTTTAGGAACGGTTTATGGCACGATCGAAAAAGAAAGGTTATTTTTGAGTTCAGGATTCTCATTTACTGCTTGCACGTGTCTAATTACATCCTGGCGGGGGTCACTAGAATTGCTTTGTTAGATTTTTAATAATTCGTGTCTCTTGCGACACGGTACATCTGTATGTAACGGTCCGCTTGCCGATGAATCAAAATTCCAGAATTTTGGGACCTTCGCCCACCCTACGCGACCATCTCCCACCCTTCCAAGGTGAGAGCGCGCTAAGGGCGGTGAAGACGATGTTAGACGCGCTGATTGGTGAATGAAATTGTTAACCCTTAACCAATCAGCGTGTCCTAATACAAAAACGTCTTACGGACGTCCGAGAAGCGACGTTGGAGAATCAGTCGTCTTCAGACAGTCAGAAAAGGGAAACCAAGGAGCAAACAGCTCATTTATTCAAACACCACGCGGTAGAGTTAGAGTATTTTATAAGTCTCAATTCACATTGGGTGGTCATTCGAAACATTATCTAGACGGTGCACCATGTGCAAACACCACAAGGCTCGAATGTTAAGTTAAAATATACACGGGCATTAACATAGTGTCTTAAAAATATATAGCATGAGAATCACAATTTTATGTACAAATGTCATAAAAAATGTAAATTGTAATGCAAAAATATATAACGTCTTACTACACTTACATTTCATTTGGTTGTGGTGGTATAGGAGGTTGTGGTTCCGGTATTTCCTCATTTTCTTCTTCGTATTCTGCTTTAACATCTTCATTGGAAGGAATAGGAGTTGGATTTGAAGGTACGGAAAGTCTACTTGTAGAAACCGATTTTGTTGGCCGATTTTTGGCAGCCCTTTTAATGCGCTCATCCAATAGTGATTGATCTTTTTCAGATATCTAAAAGTCAAAAAACTATTTTATAGAAATATCGTAATTAAATAGTAATCAAAGTAAATAATAGTCGAAATAAATATAAATTATAAAATTATTACCTGACCAATAAGTTTATAAATTCGTTCTCCTTGAAGGAAATATGCTTGAACAATGCAATTCAAAGCAGCATTTCGAACAGAATTATCACGATCCGCTATTTGTTTTGCAATTTCTTTTAGTGCTACAGATGCAGTTGGTTGACAAACGGACAATCCATAATTTTCAATAAACGAACCAAGTTGGTCTAAGCATCCTAAAAGTGCACCATTATTTAGTATTTTCTAATTACATGTTCTATATTTATTCTTTCGTTATGTTATTTACCTGTTCTTTGTCGAGCATTTTTAGATTTTAAACCTTCCATTACATAAGAAAATAATTTGCTTACTGGATATACTAATGCTATTTGTTTAAATAATGCACGAACACCATTACGTACTGCATCTTTTGGATCGCCAATCTAAACAGAAAATGATTATGCATTCAGATATAAATATATATTCATAAAAATTTAATAAGAAAGGAATGTCGTTGAAAAAAAAGAATATAAATTAATTTACTTTGATAATGAGATATGGAATAAACGATGCGGCCTCGTTTTCCAACATATGATACTGATCTTCTATTAATAAATTAAACACCATTCTCAAATACTCTAAACCTTTTAATAATACTGAAGGATTTGTATCAAAAAATCTCAGTGTTAACCATTTGAGAATAAGGTCTAAATTTGATACCAATGCTTTGCTGTTATCAGGCAAATCCTAGAATATATGAAAACGTTAAAAATATTACGATAGAATGTTAATATTTTTTGAAATAGTTCAATAAATCCTTTGAACGTGTTACTTTTTTAACTAAATTACCTCAGTTAATGCCTCAATGGCTTTAAGATGATATCGAAAATCTGAATGAAACATATTTGCTAATAAAGTTTTGTTCACATTTGCAGCCGTCATAAGTTCTTTTAAAAGTTCAACGAATTCTTCTCTGGGTGTAGTGAAGTTCCATTTCAAAACTTTTAATTTCTGTTCATCAATCACCCTTTGATGTTTAAGATTATTAGTAGCCAATAAAGGACTTGTATCTACATCATCATCTTTCTTACGAGCACTACCAGGTTTTGATGTTGATTGATTTTGTTTAGGCTTTGCTACTGTTTTTGTAGCTTTTAAAGCTCCAGCACTTTTAACAACTTTCTGATTATTTTCTTCTGGGACTTGTTTTTTTGGTAGAGGTTTCATAGGTAAATTCGGTCGAGATTTATCTAACGCAGCAAGTACTACTGTTCTTGATCCAGGTTTTAGTTTTTCAGTATTTCTAGCCATAGCTTCATAAGAAAGATGGATCATAAATCCTAAAACTGCTTCTTGAGCATTTTTCCGTACGTCAGAATTACGATCCTCTAAATTGTTGTACAAATATGGAATACATACAAGAAGTTCTTCTTTCGGTATTTGTTTTACAGGAATCAATGGTAATTTTTGTGCTAACCAATTCCAGACCTCAGCTCTAAGTATTGGCGATCCAGATTTTAACGCATCTCCAATCATTTCACCATCAAAAAATTCTTTGTAACCACATTGATCTCCCCATGTGTTAATGCAAGAAATTGCTGCAGTTCTAATCCAGTTTTTATTATCGCCTAAACATTGTATAAAACCAGGAAAAAGGACCCGAATATGTTGCTTTGCCGGAGGACCCATTGCTGCACCTAATGCTTGACATATACCTAAAGTCGACTGAGCTATTTTGCTGTTACTATCAACCAATCGTAACGCTAAACCTTGTGGTAAATCACCAATGGAGCCTTTTATAAATTTTGCCTCAGATATAATAGCATTTATTTTTTGTAAACATTCATTTCGCACCTAATTTAAACAAAACTTATTTACATTTATAAATAATTTTACATCTTAAAATACTATTATATTAGTATTTACCTTCCAATTTTTATCAGATAATTCATTAAGAAGGCCTTCTGTAATTTGGCTACTAATATCAACACGTGGAATTAAGTTATTAATATCAATTTCACTGTTACTACTAGATTTTTTATCCATTTCCATATCATCATCATCATCATCATTTATCTTATTTTTTCTGCTTTTTATTCCACGAATTGGAACAGGCGGAGTTTCACCATTATGCTAATATATAATAATTTTTTAGTAACAAGATTATTTGATATCAGACGTAAAGTTTAATTCATACAGCATGTCTTATATAACTTAAACATTTTGATTATCTACATTTCTTTTGACAATATGAAACAATGTTAAAGAAAAATATTATTGTAGTGTTGTTGTTGTGAAAAAGTAATTTTATTTAAGATCATCCTTTCCGAAATGTCAAAATTATTGTCATTGTTGTAAAAACAATAATAAATTTTTTATTATGTTTTCATAACTCCCAAAAAACGACTTGTTACCATATGCCATATATATTACTTTTGAAATTTTTTCCTATTAACATTTTTGTTATACTGTCAAAAGCGATGAAGATATTGGATGAGGCACACAATCTAAGAAGATGTCAGTTATGTTTTGATAAACAATGAATTACCGTAATAATAAAAGCTTACCTTTTCACACTCCTGTTCAATTTGTTGACGCAAGGCAGGTTTTTCATTTTCAAAGAACATAAGTAAAGGTTTGCCCATAAATAAATATAATGTACCTAATAATGTAATAGCTGCTGTACGAACACTAGGATTTGTAGCTGCAACTGCTTTTTTGATATTTTCCATCAAAGATTTGACATTAATACTAAAACATGTTACATGCTAATATACTATTTTACTCACTTATATAGTAAAATTATATTAATTTTATTCTTGACTTACACACAACCAAATTCTGTGAGACCTTTACACAATAACATTAATGTTTCTTGTTGAACTTTTGGATTCTTTTGATTAAAAGCAAATGCTACTATTTCATCTGCCACATATTCCAAACTTGTTGCTTCTGCTATTGCTAAGAGAGTTTCACCTGCAACTGTGCTATTTTTCACATCTCCTAATTTTTCCGTTATATCCATGATACAATATTCACAAACAGTACTATA